CCTAGGCAATGCTTAGCTCCATGCCATGTTTATCATGGCACGACAGACAAAGCCAAAAGGACCCTTTCAGCACCTGACTTCTAGATATCCATCCCTCTGGGGTAGAATTCAAAACCACATGTTGGGAATTTACATTCCCTCTGCAAATGCCTGGGAGACTTATGTCCCTCCTAGTGCTGATGAAACACAATTGGCGAGGTGATGCCTGAAGGGATTGCTCTCATCCCTGCAGCTAGAAGCAAAGAAAGTGCTGAGAATAGGCCTGAGGGATAAACTTCACTCCTCAGACACTTTCTGCAGGATCACAAAGATGCATCTGCAGGTGCATGCAGTCCATATCTCTGGACTGCTCTTTTTGCTTTCAGCACCAAACAGACCTCATTTCCCTTTCTAAAAGCACAGTGAGGGTGGAGGAGTTCCTCCCATCTGCACACCGTTTTTAAGTCTAGTGGTTAGCGTGCATAAGCCAGCATGTTGGAGACGTGATTACGATCTCCTTCTCTGTTTGAAGAGGTTCAAGTTCCTATTCATGCCTTCAGACAGGGTACGCAAACCACCAAAATGAAGCATGCATTTGGGAAGAAAGGGGTAAGAGCTCTGGATCAAAGCTGGGAGTTTGGCTTTCTCTTAATGCTTTGATACTCCGCCATGTGGAGAAACATGTGTTTTCTATCAAACAATCACTGGAAGAAAGACTGAAAGAGCTCTTAGGACAAGTGAGTTCGCCAAGTTATGCTCACACTTTCACCATCTCTCCTGCCCAATGAAGCCTGCATTCCTTTCTGCCCATTGGCACAGTTTCATCAGGAGGGTGGAGAGCAGCTCCACCCAAACAAGCCAATAGCCTTGTTATTAGCGCATGCCTTGGGAGGTGGGAGCTTCAGTTGGCCGAACACATCATCCAGCATCGCTGCAGCCACGGTCATGGGAAGTGTAGTTTCCCACTGCTGAGTCACCAACGATGACAGTAGAGCCCACAGTCATCCAAATGGTCCCCAAACAAAAATATGCCATCCCTGCATCACAAGAGCTAAATAAATAGCTGGCTTAATATACTAATCAATAACGCCTCTAGCTTCCTATACCTCAGTCATCACTATATTATCTGGGAACCTGATGGCAGACTCCAGATGCAGCTCCCAAGAAAGACTGATGCCGGGTAGATTGCCACCCAAAACTGAGTGCTCGCTACAGTGCATTGGCCACGGGGGCTAAGACAGTTGTTTGATGTACCTCTCATGCCAGAAGGATGTGTTCTGCTTCTACCTGGAACTGGTTATGCTGTTGCTGCAAGAAAGCGTCGAGCTCTGGGGTGAGCGATGCAGGAGTGAAGTTAGTAAATCAGAGGTGGTTTAGAGAAGAACCGCAGGAGGGATTAAGGCACTGGAAGACCGACCTTCCAGGGAAGGAGTCTAAGAGTCCATCAAAGGGTATCAAAGGGGCATCCTGGTCAAAATGCATCTCCATGGGGAAGAGGGGAAATTGCAACAGTGGGTTAATAAGTCTAGCAGAGGTGTGACAAGAGCCACTGGCTGAGGAAGCTGGGTACATCAGAATAGAAATATAGGGCTTATTTTACACACCACTGATAACTGACTGCTAGAACAACTTATCAAAGCTTGTAGTAGGCTATCATGGGACATCTCTAAAACACTGAGTTTCTTTTTCATCCAAACAAGACTTAGCTATAAAGGAGGTCAGATCGGATAGTTATAAAAGACACTGTCTTCTTGCCTATGAACACTGAACTAACGCCATCTGCCTTTCCACGCATGTGTGAGAAGTGGAGAGCGATTATATCTACCCTGATTACCTTATAAATGAGGTCAGTCCCACAGCAAGAGGCTTGTAGTGATATTGGATTGATACCACTGAAAAATCAGACGAGCTTTTGGGCACTCAAACCCTTTTTTCTACATACTATGCCTCATTCATATCCTCAGATCTTCAATCTTGCAATGACATTTCAACTGGAATCCCTTATGGCTCCTGTCAGATTGCATTCAAAAATTTGCCCAGGGTTTATTCCACACCTGTCAAAGACAGTCGGGAATGTAGGTCCTCCTGAGCCCTACAAGCCATCTAAGGCTGACCTACTGCCTATTTATCTCACATATTTATCAAGCTCCATCTTAAAGCAGGTGGGATTTTTACCCTGCCTTTGCTTTTAGAAGGGGCCCAAATTTTCTGAGCATTTAAGAGCCTACTTCTAATTATTAGACTCAATAACTTATGCTAGTCTGAATTCACCTCTAGTCCAATGTGATCTTTCGACTTAAGTAGTTTTTACTTCTGCAGTTCTGTTTTTGCTGCTTGCAACGTATTTATCGGTAACAAACATATATCTTCTCAACCTCTATTCTGCCAAGCTAGATGAGGCCAGTGTCTTCCAGTGTAGTCTTTTGTGGTTGATCCCATTCCCCTAGTTTTCCCATTAGTTCCCACCTGCATTTCTTCCACCAGGTCCCCATCTTTCTCTAACAGGACAATGAAATTCCAGGTGAAGAGTCAGCAGAGCCTCATACGACAGCGTTAGCACTTCCCTAATCACCCTGCTAGCATCCTTCGTCACAGCCTAATGCATAACTTGAAATGGCCTGGGTTTATTTGGTTTTCAGGGCTTCATCTCGCTGGAGGTCACAGTTACTTTTAGATCAACTAATAACCGTTTAATAACTAATAAGGCCTTCCCTTTCCTTGGCATTTTTCCTGACACACTGCCAACTTATCTCTCCCTGCAGTTTTGCATTCCCACACACTCAGCCAGTCTGCAGGAGTTTTCACAGTTCCAGCTCTGGTGGCTTCTCGATCCTCTCTCTTACAACCAGATCTCAAACCCTTTGAAGCCATTAGGCAGACTGGACTGGCTTCACAGCAGCCTGAGGCAAGCAATCCTAGACATCCCGTGTCCAGACACCAGAGTGACAGAAAACCTCCACCAGGCTGGACAGACTTATTTCATTCCCTATTTATATCATTATTCCTTCAGCAACACTGAGTTGTTCCATCGCCTTCTCGGTATGCAATGCCTTTCAAGCACAGGTGGACAATGCTAATGTGCTATGTGGACATCTTCTCTTAAGCAGCTACACAGTCTGTGAAGTGGCCTTCTAGTGGTGTGAATGCTGGTTTGTCAACCCTGCTGTGCTTACCTATGAAGATATAACTACCTTAAATGCTTGGAGGGCTGGCTCTTCTCCAGTTTATTGGGTGTTAATTCAGATATTGCTCAAATGTGGCTTGAAGTCCTCAGTAATAAGAAAGGATCTGGATGTAACCAGGTCTGGTGGTTTTTAGGGAGCAGATCCTATTCTAAACAATCAGGAAGCTACGTGTGTGCTGATTTTCTTCATGCTTCCAGTCTCTGGTGGGCCAGCAAAATAAATCAAAGATAACTAACTGATGGTTTTCACTCTCAGAACTGGTTTCCTTCTCTCTCTGGAGCACCACTGTGAAAGAAAATGAGCACGTGGGTGCATAACTTCACCTCCCTTTCCCACAGCACTGTACCAGCCCCAGCACCCCAGGGACTGGTACAGCCCTAGTCGGCTTTGTGTCACCTGTGACTGTGGAAATTTTCATTAGCGATGCTTCTTGAGTTACTGTGAGTTCTTGAGAGAGCAGCACTTCCCCAGAATGTCCTGCTCTCAAAGTAGGAAAAGGGATAGGCTCATGACAGTGCTTGTAATAGCCACATGCACAGCCATAATGGGCCTGTGACAAACAAATCCACAGTTATAAAACCAGCTTGTACGCTAACGTTGTCCCCATCCGTCAAGTCTCTGAGTGTTTCACAGTGATTCATAAACTTTTTTTCCTCTGTGACTTATTCAGTTGTTTTATGGGAAATTACATAACACTGGGGTTTTCCACTCTGGATCGGAACAAGAACAACAAGTTATCTTTTCCCATAACATACGAGATGTCATTGACTTAGTCAAAAATGGAGCAGCCAAGCATTTTCCCTAATTCCAACCTTTTTAAGACGTTTCTACAAATATAAGGTATAAGGTATGGGAAATGTAGGTGTGAAAGAGTTGCCTTGCAACACATAAAGGGAAACTTTTCATCAGGAGTCCCCCAGGACCCATCAACTGGACGTGCTTCCGCTCAAGTCCCCTGCACCACACCGTTGAAGCAAGCCCATTACTTGTTCACACCCTGGCTGCTGGGTAATCTTTATCAGACTCCTTTAATTTAGGGCTGGTAAAGGGATGAAACCCGCTCTGCCCTGAGTTTCTACTTAGGGTTTCTTCCCAAGTCTCAGATAAGTTAGATGTCTAACTGGTAGCCAGCACGGAGAGGCAGAGGGGCCACAAAACGCTTCTTATTATCATGGGGTTATGATGAAAAACCATGCCGATGTGGAGCGATATGGAGCTTTCCTAAGTTTCTTAAGGCAAGTGGGTTCCAGTTTAGTTATATTTGCACTGGAGATGGGAATACAGACATGCTTTGTGCAGATCCAGCTGCAACCAGCTTTCCACCTGCCAGCCCAGGGAGTGGGCATAAAGACATGGCGCAGGCCTTGGTGAGGCTGAGCCAATGCAGGTGGAAGCCCAGCCCACTGCCACTTGCATTTTGCCTGGTGTTACCCAACACAACACACATGTGATGTAATCCAGCTTTCGGCTCGCAGAGCCAGACTTAAAGGAACAAACATACCTTGTCACATTCCCCATCCAAGAACCGGTGCAGGGCCACCCCTTGCATTGCAAGACATTGTTTTGCCTTTTGCGTGAAAGCAGCCCCAGGACATAAACCTGAAGAGGACAGATGAGGTATGGCAGGAGTCTGCTTGTTGCAGTGACATCATCTCCTCCACAGAGAGGGAACTTGTTTCGCTATAATTCCCGATCCCGCCTGGAGCTGGGCTCTCCCCTGATCCACCTAAGGGAATCCGCCCACAGGATCAAAAGAAGGTGGAGGGTGAAGAACATATAAAGCTACCCCCGCACAGCTCTCCTTTATTATCCAGGGTGCATGGATCTGCTCTCAGCATGAAGACTCTTCTGGTTGGTTTGCTGCTTGGCCTGGCATATGTGGAGCTGGGTAAGACTACCGCGTTCCTGACACTGCAGGGATCCCTGGGAAATCCCTGGGAGGTGAGGGAAAAGACTGCAATGTAGAAAGAGCCGGTATTCCTAAGGTAGGGGAAATGATGCTTTTATGTATTTAGGAAGACCAACGGAGCAGAAAGTCCTGAGGGGTGGGTAAGCAGGGAAAGGGGATAAGGGTTCCTGGTGGGAAAAGCTGTGACGAGTGGTGGAGAGTAGTGCACAGAGTGGAAGTCATTCAGCCCTATGGGTGTTCACCTGTCACCCTGTCCCTGCTCACACATCACCCCAGCACTGGCTGGGACAGAGATGCTGCTTCATAAGGCAAGGGTGTGAATGACAGCCACATGGCACAAGTCTGAACAAGGATCTGAACCAAGAGCCTCCACCTAGGCTGCCAATATGTCCCTTTGGGGCCAGGATGGAGTATGTTCATTCTGAGCTTTTGCTGTCCCTCCAATGTCTCCAATGGTTGCAGAAAGTGCTAAAAAACAGACAAAACTTTCCGTAGTTCTGTCTGGGTTTGGCCCTTGCAGGATCAGGGTCTTAGGCAAGCTGGTGGTGGGATCCAGTCACTGTCATGTTCTTTCTGCACCTATTTGGGACCTACTGCAAATGCCTTCTTGGCCTGGAACAGAGTCATCCTTGAGGTGACACCAACCCAGTGGTTTTTAACCTGCAATTCATGGGCCCCGGAAATCTACTTTAAGGGGTCTCTGAAAAACCTTGAAGAAAAGGCAGCCTGGTGGGCTCCTCCATCCAGAGACCCGTCTAACTGGAGTTCAGAGGGCTGCAAATGGAAGGAGGTTGAAAGGCGCATACCTCGTAAATCTTTACGTGCAGAAGTGTCTTGAGTATTGTCTTCTTAAGGCTGCATTGCTTTTTTGTTTGCCTACCCTCAGTCCTCCTTACATCCGTCTCGGAAGCTAACCCAAATGCTCACTGACCATTTCCTTGCATGCGCTGGACTGAAACAGGACAGCTGCAGTTACTTCCATACAGCTACTGCAATCTGTAACGTTTCATTGCCCTTTTTTTCTTTTTTCTTTCGGACACTTCATAGGTGTCTTATTACATCTGTTTCTTTGCTTACCTCTGGGTCTAACCCTGTCCTGGATTTAATGGGTTTGCTGAGGACCTGGCAGAATAGGTTTCCACCCATAGGTTTCAAACTGCTTTGTGGAAACAGATAGGCATCACCACCCTCTGTTTTATAGTTAAGATTGAGGCTGAGATAAGGGAAATAGTTTTTCTGGGATGATTCAGCAG